CACTTGTGCTACAATTTTTTTTATTAACGCAAATAACGCAGTTATTATTATACTTTACTCTAAGATTATCTTAATTATTAAAAAAATACATTTAGAACTATTTTATTTTAAATGAGTTGATAGTGAAATAAATTAGTTTGAAGTGGCGTTTTGTCTTGGCCGTTGCATGAGCTTCCCGTTATGTGTAATAATTGATGAAAAATAAAAATTTTAACTATTAATTTTGAAAATAAAGTTTTCGCTTTGGCTAATAACTAAACATTGCGATTTTCAATTGATATCTCTCAAACACATATATAATATCTGTAATTCAACCATTTTTCGCAGGACATTTTAGTTTAGCGCATGAACTTTATCGCCATGTTAAATCTTATTACAAAAGTCTAAATATTTTTTTAAGAAGCTTAATAAATATGTGAAATATTAAGCTTGTGCTGTAAGAAAATACTTGCACGATTAGGTATTATCATGTACGCAGTCCTTGATATTATTTAATTATTTAAGTTATGGTAACATAGTTCATACAATTAAAGAAGTTTCGTGGAATGCTCATTTGGTGGCACAGATATAAATAATTCAATTAGATGATTATTAATTAATTTCTGTGAACAATGCACAAATACAAAGAATTTTGCCCAAAACTGTTACATAAAAGCACTTTTTTGCTTATTTCAAAATTAGGGCACAGCCGATGGTCTCGCAAATCTAATTGCGACTTCTCCTTATCGAGTTTCATTGGCTTAAATTTGTGAAATCTGTTCAGCCGTTTTTTTTTTTGAAAAAGCGTTGATGAAATTCAAGTTTTAACTCATAATACTTACTCACAATACTCACAATAATTTTGACACATTTTTTATATTTTTTCAAACTTCGATGAATTTTTAAATTGAACCGCTTGTCGTAGAGACGCAAAATTTTAGTATGTTTAGTATGATCCCTATAATCAATTATAACCAATCTCTATAATCATTTTTTAACGACATTTAATTACGAAGAAACAGTCTGGCCGATTTTTTCCAAAAGCTAGCAACGCGATTTCTATCTAATATCTTTAAGCCAGTTTAGTTTTCAAAATTGATTCAGGATTGCGGCCACTTTTCTGTTTATTGCAAAGAAACGGCCAGGCCGATATTTGTGCAAAAGTCAACCCAAGTCCTTGTCGAATTATTTCGAATGGATTTTAAATTTTTGAAATTGGTGCAGCCATTTTTGAGATATCGTCTCACATGCTGCGTGCTCATACTTTTCTCAAATTTGGTCTCGAACTATTCAGAATGACTTGAAGTATCAAGAAAACGTAGAATTAGCAAGTGAGATTTTCTGTCGAAAACATAAACTTCTTCTTCGGGTAGTTAAAAAAAGCTAACAAGATATGGAATAAGTTTATTTTGTTTTTATAATAAATGATAGAGTGCCAGAAGGCATGTCCATGATGTGATAGCCACCACAAATAAATGATTCTCCTACCCTTTGTTGTCCATAATTTCCATTACCACTACTATCCTCTGCCCTCCCCTCAACCATTTCCACATTTGTTTTTATTTCTTTTTGTGTATTTTCCTTTCTAAACTTATGCCTCCTGAGCTCGCTTCGGCTTTCAGTTCCCTGTATTTTCTCTTCTCGCGTAAGTCGTCAATCATTTGCATTCTTCTCTTTCCCATTTCTTTCAGTCCTTCTATTTTACCCTCAACGGCGTCGTGCAGGAGACACTCTTTTTGCAGAACGGGTCCAATCCAGTTTCCTTTTTGTTTTTTCTTTCGACTTTTCTCAGGACGTCTTCATTTGTTTTTTTTTTGTTGTTTATTTTTATATTGATATTATTGTTATTCGTTTTACATCTGTATAAATTTGTATCTGGAAATGCATGTGCTTATATGTTTATAAGCTAACTAATATGAACAATTTTTGAAAATATTTGCTGTGATCTCTTATATCAATTTGTCTGATAGTGTTTACAAACATTTATGAATATTCAACATAATAATAAAAATAAATTGTAAGCAAATAAACTAAAAAAATATAATATTCATCTTTCTTGTTGAGCACGCGCCACTGCCTCGTTGTAGTGATACGAGTTCTTTAGCAAGTAGCAGTTTGTCACAGGTTTTGTTTTCATTTATGGTTATTGGTTGTCGCATTTATTATCTTAATTGCGAATAAATTATGCGATCGAGAGCAATAAAAGCTTTGATATCGCATTTCTTGCGACCTACACTTATTTACTACATCAACTGATCCAAGACTAAATATACTATAAAGCGAATTCAATATAAAGAATATGCTGTAATTTATGGTTATATTCATATCGTACATTATGGCAGTATTGAAATTCAGAAATTGGTTTTGAAGTAAGAGTTTCTTCCATAGTGTTGTTTCTGTACACAAACCAGATTGTGCAACTCTTTCTGTGTTGGAAAAAATTTTGATTTGTTCATATATTGACCCAGCGGTAACGTAATCAGTTCGGATCCCTGCCATGACCAAATTTGACATCGAGTTACATCGAATGGTTTTCATTCGATCGGAATTCAAATCCATTCAAGTCCATTTCAAATTTTTGAAATCGGTTCAGCCGTTTTTGAGCAAACGTCGACAAAAGGTCAAATACACACATAAAAGCTCACACTTCTTTTCCGGTTATCGACAATTCATTAATTTAAGTATTATTACACGGAATTTTTTATATCATTTATCAACACATGAACATCAAAAGTTGATTTACAAATTGTAGCATGAATTAACACCGCGATTTGTTTTCCGAATTGCAAATATTCAAATTGATAAGCTGATTGCATGTATAAATCTCGGATCGGAATTATACAGCTCCGCATATTTTTTGTTCATCAATTTAAAAAAGCTGATAATTTACGATACATAAGCGTATTAGATACATCAGCAGATCAGACTTTATGGAAAAAATACCATGGGTCTAATATCAACTTGTCTGATTGTGATAAATTAACTTTTATGTATCGAAATGATTGTACGCATTCCAAAATTCCATAAGGCGAGATGCATTAATTATGCGAACTGTTTTTTGCCGTTATTTTTTTCTTTCGTGGAGTTAAGTGTTTTCTTAAGGCAGTTTTTGCCTTTGCATGATAAATATGATGGAAATACTCATTTACTGATTTATAACTTGAACTAATTAACAACTTCGAGATTTGTTAAATTATTTAACTTAAACGCTGTTTATACTATTGGCCGACAAATTTCTAGCAAAATAGATCCTTTTTATTTTATGACAAGTGGAGACACAAATCTTCTGTTATTCATAAAAAAGTATACAAAAATCAGATATCATCAAATCAGAAATGCAATTCATTTCCTTTTACACTTATTTACACCATTTGTAAGTATCCTTAATAGTTCAGTGAAATTTTTAAGGCAAAATTGTTTAAATCCGTTAGTCTGCAGCTAAAAGCCAAAACAAATATGACCGTCTCCTATCTGTGAAACTATTCTCGTCACAGTGCTAATTTATTTATTGACTTTAATTATTGTTTACATAGATTTTAACAAGGTCCGTTTGAATAATATGTCCTTTTCTGTTAATTCCAGGTCCGAATTTAATGCCATGAAAATGTAGTTTATTTTAACTTACAATAATTTACGTTGAATCACTATTCTCTGCTATTTCTGGACTTTTGAGAAAAGAAAAGCTATCATCAGCTTATAAATTCTATTTATAATTTCTAGATTCAATGTTTCTATGAGAGTTATTGACTTTTTAAAGCAAAAGTTATTCAATTGACTATATAATTATGAATATTGTTATTTTTATTATTAGTATTATAATGTAGTACCTGCATAATTTCAAATACGAAAAATACTGTGTATTCGATTAAATATAAATAATTCTATCGATTTGTATATTTCATATGCGCGTACTTCTAAATTTATTTATTCTGTTTGCTGTGAATTTCTTATTTATTTTGATCATTTAATGAAGCCTGATAAAGTTTGAAGTTTCAAACACTAAAGCACTAAAGTCATCTAATATTTTTTAAATGAAAAATTAAAACATCTGATTTCTTACCTTAAATAATCTATTTCCGAAATTACCTTACCCCAATTGATATTTTCAATTCAAACCACTTCATTGCAAAGAAGATTATTTTACAATTAAAACTAATCAATAACAAAATTATAAGACAAACAAGGAATCCAAGCAATATTATTTTTTATAAATTTTAGAAAATACCTGTAATGATACAGTTTATATAAAATATTTCTAAAAAACATTCTTTTATACCAGTTATTTGAATAGTTTAAATCCGACTATAGATTCATTAAATTGACGATTGGTAAGATGATTGGTTTCGTTACAATAGCTACACATTTTCATCCTCAATGAGATAAAAATACATTACCTATAATAATATTTAAATGTCTATTTACAATTTATCAAGTATATGTTATTAGACCCTGGTTTGATTTCCTAACTATTGTAATTATTTTACTTACCTTATATTGAACAGTAGCGATATTCATTTTTACTTGGAAATATAGAACTAAAATATGTTTTTCAGTAAAAATGATCTTTTTTTCCTGGAATCTAGATATATTATCACTATTAGAATAATTCTAATAATCAAAAATTAATCAAATATAGATAGGTTACCCGTTATCCAAATTATGCCTAGAAGAAAAAGTTTGATCAGAAGAGGATGGAAGTTCTGATTGCTGTTAAAATAATAATAATATTAATAATAAATATATATATATATATATATATATATATAAATATGTCATTATTAAGCTTTCAATTAGTTTTGCATTCATTTATTTACTAACTTCCCGTAGAGTAAGTTATTGTAATCGTCCAAAATTCGAAATTGAAAATTTTTAAATTTTTTCACGTTTTGAAGGTTTCTGAACATTTTGGCATACCTCCGCAAAAATGGATGTGTGTGTGTCTATGTATGGATACAATTTTTCGTTATATGTTAATATTATATATTATTGGTTGTATAATATAATAGTGGTTTACTAATATTATGGATTTTGGTGTATATTTTTACCATGGTAAGAAATTAAGCTAAAAATTTGAGATTTAACTAACAGTTAAAATTTAAGATGATTTATTTTACATATTTTGAAGATAGTTGTACATTATTACATTGATAATTTTCTTTATAATCGAAAAGAATTAATGTATTAAAACTTATAAATGAAATAAACATATTTTTAAAACTAAATTAAAACAATCATATAATGCAATTTCTAAGAAAAATTTAATAACATTTTTACGATAACAATAATAAAAATAAAATTCATTCCTGCTCTAATAAATATTTTTTTTTTTCAGGTAAACTGTACGCCGTGCTGGGCAGACGGCACGGACGCATCCTGTCGGGCGATATGACCCTAGGCTCCGGAAGTTTCGACGTGACCGCTGTGCTTCCGGTGGTTGAGAGCTTCCGATTTGCCCAGGAGATCCGCAAACAGACCAGCGGATTAGCTAGTCCTCAGCTTATGTTCAGTCATTGGGAAGTGAGTACATATTTTTTTGTTTTGATTTAATTCAGTTTTTACCTGCATGTGAATTTTCCTGCACTAAACGATTGCTTCTTTGATATTCTTTGGAACTCGAAAATGCCGTATTGTAGATTGAACGTTTCATTTTAGCATTTTCACATTATATTTCCTATAATAACACATAGTAATCATAGAGTCTATGTGTCAGACGCTGATAAATTCTACATGAGCAATTCTACATCAGACATGTATTTTTTTTTGTTACAATTTATTTTTATTAATCAAGACTTTAATATCTTATTTACAAAATTGATGTGAACAAAAAAAAATATACAAAAATACAAAAAAATGCAATAAATTGAATATAAAATGAAAAAAGTTGAAATAAAAATAAAATAAAAACAGTAATACAAAAATAATAACATAAATGAACTATGACGTGATGATGTATGCCGCGTACTACATCAGACATGTATGCCTGACATACGCGATTGCAATATATCGCGAAGAAAAGGTTTAATATTAGGGCTATGACAGTCATATATGTGTCACATAAAAATCGTGTTTTTCCAAGAGCTTTTTTCACAAACAAAATTTTTTCACAGTTTACTGCGTCTATGGGGTAAAAAGGACTAGGTTTCAAATTTTTGAAAAACAGCAAAAAAGAAAACATTTCTACAATGATGAATTAGCTGGGAGTTTTACTGAATATAGCCAGATAGTCGTTTGTTCGATATGTATTATTTGTTGTGATTTAATTGGTTTGGTTTTTACAATATAATTACTTAAAGTCAAACTGGACCTTTGTACTCCGTCGTACCCAATTAAGTTTGTTTGATACATTTTTAACTAATTAAATTTAAATTATTCAATAAAGTTCGCAAAGCCCATGTGAAAATTTGTCTGATATTATCGTGGCGATTAACGTGTTAATGACGTAAATTTTAGTATCTGCAAGCAAATATTTATTAGCTAAAGTTTTGATAAAATACTAATACGCTGCAAACAACTTTAATACACAGTAAACAACCATTTTCAATCTTCTAACAAAATTATTTATTTTCTACAACTTCATATAATTTGTAAATTGATTATTAAAGTTCAATTAAATCTCGTGTTATAAATGCTTTAATATTTTCAATTGCCATAAAATTAAAAGCAATTATACAACTTAATTATATGTAACAATTTTATTAAGCTCCCGACAGAGAAATTTATGTTTTTGCCCAAATATTCCACTTACTAATTTTATGTTTTTTTCTTGTTTCAAGTTATTCTGATTCGTTTGAGATCAAAAATTAGAAAAAGTGTATGTATGTATGTTAATCAAAATTTAATCAAAACGTCTAATAGGTAAATTTCAAAGATTTAAAAGCCATTAGTTGAAATTTGATAAGGATTCGCGGTGATTGCTTTTGCAAAAAGATTTTTCTTAGAATTTTCTTAGAACTTGCAGCAAACCGACAAAAAATTGACCAAAATTTTGCAAAAAATCTTAAACTGATTTCGAAAACTTAAAAAAAGTTCGGAAGACATCAGTTTTTGGTGAAGATCGTTCGGGCCATTTTTTGTTATTAATTTTTGAATTTTTTACCATTGGGGCTTACAAAAAGTGGTTCAATTATAATACTTTATTGAGGTTTGGAGTAGTGGATAGTGTCGGGTTAAATTCAAACTTCTAACGTGACATTTTGAAAAGTAGCTACATCTCCATTCACATTCATCCCGATTATTTACCCAAATTGAGAAGTGTTTGCAATTTGCATTAGGGAAAAATTTCACTCAGATCTAGTTAATCTATTTATTACTTAAAAAACTCTTATGTTCTACGGTTGCAAAAGTTTATTAAAGTTAAAATCTTTTCGTTTATAAGATATTTTTTCCATTTCTTGATCTTATCATCGATTATATTATTTGTATGCAGAGAAAATTCAAGAGGTGTCTCATCAAGGTTGTCAGTTTCTTTGAACTTAAGATATTAAGGTCTAAATGAAAATGTTTCGTTTAATCTTATACTTTGGGTCATACTATTATTGTACGAAGAATGCATTTATTTTCTCATAGTGACGACGGCTGAAAACTTTTGACAGTCATTCGATTGCACTTTTTTGCAATTAAATGCATCCTGCGTCGGTATTACTTAATCGAATTTGATTCCGGATATTGCTTCCATTATTTTCTCTTCGTACTTCTTATTGTAATTGCTGTTAGAGCAAAATTTATGCTGATTCAATATCCTGTGTTTCAACGAACAATCACGATTATTTGCTATAATGCAATATCTGTATACGTCATGTTTGTTTTCTTACCGCTTTTTGTTAAAATGAATAAATGAGTATCTAACTTTTTTGCATGGTAAGATTTTCTTGAGAACATATGTAATATAACATATGGGTACGACGTTTTACTAGAGTTAAGTTCTTTTCATTCAAATCGGTTGATCCGTGCGCTCGAAAACGTGGACGAAAAATTGTATTCATACATACATACATACACACACATCAATTTTTTCTGAGGTATGCCAAAATGTTCAGAAACCTTCGAGACATGAAGAAATGTAAAAAATTTCAATTTTGATTTTTGGACGATTACAATAACTTGCCCCAGGGAAAGTTGAAAAAAAAAGAAATGACATACTTAAAAAGTTAGTAATTAGTGCGTTAGTTTTGATTGTTGTAGCGATGTACCAAGTGTAATAGATCACTGCTTCAAGTGAGTTAGGGGTGCGGGTGACCTTTCTTTCTCATGAATTTTATTTCTGTAATTTTTGGCACTCGGTAAACACATGGAATTGAAAAAACGCAAGTTTTGTTTCTCTATTATAAAAATTCCTCAAGCAATTTAATAAACGTCTTGCAAGAGAAATGCTAAAACGGTCGTCTCAGTTATGACATACGTCGAAAAGAACTCGTCAATTTCGATAAGTGCTGCAATAAAACTAAATAATTTACCTTGCCAGACAAAATAATTTACCTTGTCGAATTTTTGTATGCATCTCTAATGAGCCATTTGCAGAATTAATCGTTGCTTCCGGTGCAATAACTGTAAGCAAAGAATTTATTGCTTACGATGACGCCGAATACGGAACCGACATTTGTTTTGGGAAAGGGCTGGTAGACAATATTTACGAGTAATAAGTTATAAAGATAGTAAAGAAAATTTTAAGTTATCATAAACATGAATATTGTGATTGTAAACACAGAAATGGAATATAAGAAATAATTTTTTTTTATACATTCCTATTTGTACATCAATCGGAGCTTCCTTGCTATGAGCTGTTGTGCTCGAACTTTTCCTTCTATATGGGTAGAAAATTGCAACCCAATGTTTAACCAAATTATATTTGATAGATTCTAATATTGCTATTAAATAATATAATTTAATTTAAAACGGCCATGAGCACGAAGGGCTATTTTTACTTGCAAGCAATTGTTATAATCAAAAATATAAAAAAAATAAAAAGACATCATTAGAACAAATTATAAAAATAGTAGAATTGAATATAATTTAAAATTTAATCCTAGTGAATTCCCATTTTTGTAAATATATTCATGTAGTGTTTAATAGTTCCATTAAATATAATTCAACAATAACACAAGGCATGAGTAATCAATCATGTGAAGGTTAATACTTCCTCAATTATCAATAACGAAGCAAATGAAATCGTCATGTCACCTTTGTTTACAATAATCATTTTAGTAATAAAGATCATTTTAATTATGCTTGTAATTATTACTTCTAATGATGGGATAGAATACAATAGTTAAATCCTCATATATCGCAAGTAAAGAACCATACCTAGCATGAAAAAAGGTACATTTTCCCAAAATTCATTTTTACAAAATCTGTTACTGCTCACTCACAAAACTTTTAAAACTAATAAATATTGATTTTACACAATTTTTCAGAAGTATTTCGCAAATGTGACAATATTATATATGTAATTAAATAAAGCTAATAAAGGGTGTTATTTAAGAGCATTAGCTAATAAAGAAGTTTTTTAGAATGGAGAATAAATTTACCGATTTAATGTTTGTTGTAAGTTTCTGTAAGTTTTATATTTTGGCTCTTTCAAACTCGTTATTAAGTTTTATTAATTAATAAAAAATATACCGAGATATTATAATTGTAATACCTATTTGACTACTAGAATGCATACCATTTGAACATTAAAAAAGCGTCGGCAAGGTGTAAATTATGATGATTAAAAGTATAATTTTGTTGTGTATGGCGATTCCCAGTTTAGTACTGATATTGAGTTTCTTGTGTAAATTAATCTTGAAATTCTCTGTTAATCAAGCATGGTTATTCAAAATAGAAAAGCATTAGACACATCGGATGTTCAAGTGTTTAAAGGCTTATCGTAAGTATGTCGAATCTTTATCAGTCCCAATATTTTAGCAGCGGATGCCCACGCAATATGTAAAACAGAGATCGTTCTAAAAATACATTTCTTGATATTAAACTGAATTGCAATGGGATACTGAAATTGTAATTTATAATACCAAACAAATGAGCAAAGGGTTGGTAAAACTTTGGGAAAAGAAATTTTATCTAAATCTTTACTATTGAGTGCTTATCATTTGATATTTCGCAGAAAATAGTTGTAAGATCTGTTCGAATAAGAACAAGAAGAAATTAAAAGTTCCCGATATGTCTTAATAATTAAATTTCAACCGTTTATTTTGCAAAAAAAATTATAGGTCTACCAAATGCGAATCAGTTTTAAAAATTTAATAAAGAATAAAATGTTGCCCCACACATCTTATTATCACATATAGGAAGATTTATGCAATTTACCTTAAAGCGAAATTAAAACTAGTTTCTTAATAAGTATGCATTATCTATTTGTTTCTCTATCATATACCTATTATTTTATCTTTCAAAATAATTCTAGAACCTCGTTATACAAAGTATATGAGAAAAACTTTATTTTATTTCGTATAAACTTTTTGGATCATTTGCGAAATAGCAAAGCTGGTTCATGCCAAATTAGAACCAATCAATCAGATGCA